GAGGTATATAGGGAGTAGATATCATAACGAACTTGTTTCCTGAAGCCCACATCAAGAAGATCTCATCAGCGGCGTACGTGAGGATGGCTAACATCAGAACAGGCCTGTAGAAATTTGTGTTAGATTTCATTCTAGTATCTCGCATGTCAGGACAATCCTGGGGAACATAGCTTCAGCGTAGAGTTCATATCTAGTCAAGCACAAATTGAAACTGGATATGATATGCCCCAAACTAGTCCCCGAACTAAGAAGTTTGAATTACGAGGAAAGACTACATGAATTGAACTCTACGCCACTGGAAGTCAGAAGAGCTAAAAGAGACATGGTTACAACATGTAAAATTCACAGGAAAATCGATAGGGTAGATAGACTATGTAACATGAGTGGTATTCACACCAGTCAATACAGGTGGAAACTGAGTACCCAAATGAGTCACAGGCATTAAAAACAATTTTTTATGTCAGAATAGTTAGCATATGAAACGCATAAGGAAGTGATGAGGTGGAGGCAGACTCCATACACAGAATCACAAATAGGTATGATACAGGCTCTTGAACCTGCATACCAGTTAATTGTTAATTGAGAGACGGGACCAAAAAGCCGAAGTTCAACCCCCGCAAGCACAACTAGGGGAGTACAAAGCAAGCCATACCAGCTAAGCCGATCACATCTATAGACCCCTCAGTTAGAGCCACTCTCCTGTGCCAGGTAAGTTCACTACGGGCTCACCATAGCCCATGCTACTTGCAACTTTTGGATCCGAGTAGCTGAATGTAAAACAACAACAACAGCTATAGACTGACTGATCATGCAACTAACACAATCCCTTGAGCCCCGGAAACCAATTTTACCCCATTTCCTGCTCGCCACACTGAAGGCTCTTCACCGCTCCTGAATTAGATTAACGAGCGCTCCCCGCAGTTATTGGGTCATCTCCAATAACGCCCGTGACGCCCGTCTAGTTTTTAGCGGTGTGCAAGTGGGTGTTGTCCCTGCCTCAGGTTGTGGAGTATTACTACAGGTAGAGCCAGAGTGAGGGGGCCCTTACTGTCCCTCCCAAGGAGCAGTAAGGGCTCCTCTGTCACGGGCCCCTCTGACAGTGGATCCTGACCACTGTCATGGGTCTCTGTCACGTGCAGTATCATTGTCTACCACGTGTCACGTGCAAATATCGCGTGTCTCATTGTCACGCGACATTCCGATGTCACTCCGGACAGACACACCTGGCCAGGGAGGGGATGAAAGGGTATGGGGATGGTAGGATGGGAGAAAGGGAGCGGGGGGGGGGGGGAGGGGGGATAATAGAGGGGGGGCAGCATCTCCCCCTCCCCCCCTCGACCCCCGTCACTACGCGAACAACCCGCTCTTAAAAGATTAGAGCGTGCAAAATGGAATATATGTCTTCAATTTGAGCGCTGAGATGGCGCGGTGTGTGAAATGTGAGAATTTTCTCTGGATCTCTGCCACACACCCCTCCCCCTCCCAGAGGAGTGGGATGGGTGAGAGGTGATGTCAGGGGAGAGGAGATGCCTGGAAGAGGAGGGAGCTGCATGGAATGGGAAGGGATTACCTGGAAAGACAAGGAACTATTTGGAAAGGGAGGGAACGTCTTGTAAAGGGAGATATCTTTCTGGAAAGGGAAGGAACTTCATGGAAACGGAGGAAACTTCCTGAAAGGGAGAGAACACACTGGAAAGGAAGGGAACTTTCTGGAAAGGGAACGAACTTCATGGAAAAGAACAGAATTCCTAAGAAAAAGATAAAACTACTTGGAAAAGGTAGGGAAATGTCCAAAATGGGAGAGAACTGATTGGAATGGGAAAGAAATATCTTGATGGAAAGGATCTATCCGAGAAGTAATAAAATAGTCAAGAAGGAAAAGAAAACTGCATAGTAGTGAACTACCAACTAATGGGAGAACATTAAACTACCTAGGAGTTGTCCTGGAATGGATGAAGATACCTGGTAGAAGGAAGAACTACCTGAAATAGTAAGAGTCTATGAGAGGAATGGAATGGGTGGAAACTGCCTGGAATAGTGAGATAAATGCCTGGAAAGGATGATAAATGCCTGGAAAGGATGATAAATGCCTGGAAAGGATGATAAATGCCCAGAATGGGAGGACTCTGCCTGAATTAGGAGAGAATTCCTTGAATAGGGTGGAAACTGTCGGGAATCGCAGATAAATGCACAGAATGAGAGAGATTTGCATGGGTAGGGGGATTGAACTGCCTGGGAATGGATGACAATTCGTGGAATGGAAAGAACCAGTATGGGAAGGAGGATATCATCGTTAAGAAGTGATGGGAGGGCATGAGAGTGATGGGAGGACATGAGAGTGATGTAAATAGCATGAATGTAATTAATTAGTTTCCTGGAATGGAAGATAACTTCATGGGAGGAAAAATACCTTACTGGAAGCTAAAATAATTTCCAGAGAGGAAAGGGGGACAGCCAGTTTTTATGTTTTTTTTCCGTTTAATTATAAAATTACCTCGTAACAGGTGTTTTTAATAGTTTTTCTTACGGCGTTTAAATTAGCTTCTACTCCATCCATTAGTAAAATTTGCTGCGTCTCAGAGTCTAACTCCTTTATTGATTCCTTATCTCCTTTTAATGAACTCTTCTGCTTAATCGTTCACAAGTTTCTTCTGCTTAATCGTTCACGGGATTCTTATGCTTAACTGTTCACAATTTATTTATGTTAGTATTTTGTAGGTGGTGATCATATCTCCTCATTTTTCTAACTTCTAGTTTTGGCATGTTTAACGCCTCTAGTCTCTCCTTGTAACTCTTGTATTTCAGTTCTGGAAGTCATTTTGTAGCATGTCTTTTCACCCTTTCCAGTTTATTTATGTGCTTCTCGAGATCTGGGCACCATACTACTGCTGCATATTCTAATTTTGGTCTCACAAAAGTTATAAAAAGTTTCATTAGTACTTCACCACCCATATGATTAAAAGCAAGTCTGAAGTTGGAAAGCGACGGATACGCTCCTCTCACAATGTTCTATGTGTTCCTCTGGCGACATCTATCCAAAAACTATCTTACTATCCAAAACCACCCCTAGTTCTTCTTCTTTATTAGAGTTCTGTAATTCCTTTCCACATAATTTGTAAGTTGTGTGTGATTTATTTTCTCCGATTCCACATTCCATAATATGGCATTTATTCACATTGAATTCCATTTGCCACTTGTCGCTCCAAGCACTTATGTTATCTAGATTAAGCGTCTCATATCTTCCCCAGTATCTTAGCGTCACCTGCAAACATGTTTATATAATTCTGTATTCCTTCTGGTACATCGTTTATGTAGACGATGAACATTACTGGTGCAAGGACAGGACCCTGTGGTACTCCGCTAGTAACACTCCTCCAGTCAGATACATTGTCTCGGATTACTGCCCTCATTTGTCTGTCATTTAGAACAATTTTCATCCATGTCAGAAGTTTCCCTGTCACCCCTCCAGCATATTCCAGTTTCCAGTACAGCCTCTTGTGTGGGACTCTATTAAAACCCTTTTTTAGGTCCAGATAGACACAGGCAACCCAACCATCTCTTTCCTGTAGTATCATTTTGTTACACGGGATCTGCCTGTTCGAAAACCATACTGTCTGTCCGTTATTATGTCAGTACTCTCCAGGTGTTCAACCCATTTGGCTTTGACTATTGTTTCTAGTGTTTTGACTACCACGCTTGTTAATGATACGGGTCTATAATTTAGAGGGTCCTCTCGACTACCATTTTAATAGATTGGTACTATGTTTGTCTTTTTCCATAGATCTGCTAAGATTCCTGTGCACAAGGATGTCTGGAATATTAATTGGAGTGGAATGCTCAGCTCAGTTGCACATTCTCGCAGCACCCAAGGTGAAACTCCATCAGGTCCAACCGCTTTATTTCTTCCTGGTCCCTTGAGTAATTTTTTCACTTCGTCTTGAGATACCTATGTGTATTCTATGACGTGTTCTGGAATTAGTATTTAGTCCGGCTCTCTGTAATCCTACGTTTGTACAAACACACTTTGGAACTGTTGATTTAGCATTTCCCACAATTATTTTTCATTCTGAGTAGTCTTGTTCCCCGTCCTCAATCTCTGGATTTTATCCATTACATGCAGCTTGCTCTTAATGAATTTATTGAAGAGTCTTGGATCTGTTTTACATTTGTCCGTAATACCTTTCTCAAAGTTCCTTTCTGCCTCTCTCCTCATTCTTGTGTAACTGTTTCTTGCTTGTTTGTAGTACTGGTATGTTTGTGTGTTTGGCCTCATCCTATACTGAACCCATTTACTTGTCTTATCCTCTCTGGCCCTCTCACAATTTCTATTGAACCAATCCTGTTTCCTGGTCCTGCATCTCATCCTGTTCTGTGTGTCTGTATTTACTATTTGTATCTGCAGAATCGAGCTATTAGCTCTTGGACCACGCCTTTCTAACCAATTTATTTTAACTCCATAATGTCTACTACATATATTTCTCTTACAGACACACACACACACACACACCAGGAAGCAGCCCATAGCAGCTGTCTAACTCCCAGGTACCTATTTACTACTAGGTGAACAGACGCACCAGGCTGAAAGAAACGGCCCATTTGTTTCTGCCTCAGCCGGGGATCAAACCCGGGCACCTTAGGACTAGGACCCCAGAGCGCTGTCCACTCAGCCGCGAGTGTATGTGCGTGCGAACGTGCGCATGCAAAGCGTGCAGAGGACGGGAAGGGGGGAGGAAATAGACACGCAAAGCCCTCAGGTGATTTGAAAAATAATCATCGACGGAAGTGTTTCACTGTTATATGACGCTGTATACAGGAGTGTATTGTGTTATTGAACCTGTATGACGCTGTATACAGGAGTGTATGTGTTATTGAACCTGTATGACTCTGTATACAGGAGTGTATTGTGTTATTGAACCTGTATGACGCTGTATACAGGAGTGTATTGTGTTATTGAGCCTGTATGACGCTGTATACAGGAGTGTATGTGTCATTGAGCCTGTATGACGCTGTATACAGGAGTGTATGTGTCATTGAGCCTGTATGACGCTGTATACAGGAGTGTATGTGTTATTGAACCCCACGTCACTGGCCGCATCCCTGCCTGTTGGTCTGTTACAGTGCCTCTTCCTCCTGCTACACTGCCTGTTGTATGGGTTACATACTACAGCTGCACCATACTACAGCTGCACCATACTACAGCTGCACCATACTACAGCTGCACCACACTGCAGCTGCACCATACTACAGCTGCACCATACTACAGCAGCATCATACTACAGCTGCACCATATTACAGCTGCACCATACTACAGCAGCATCATACTACAGCTGCACCATACTACAGCTGCACCATACTACAGCAGCATCATACTACAGCTGCACCATACTACAGCTGCACCACACTGCAGCTGCACCATATTGCAGCTGCACCATACTACAGCTGCACCATACTACAGCAGCAGCATACTACAGCTGCACCACACTACAGCTGCACCATACTACAGCTGCACCATACTACAGCTGCACCATACTACAGCAGCATCATACTACAGCTGCACCACACTACAGCTGCACCATACTACAGCAGCATTATACTACAGCTGCACCACACTACAGCTGCACCATACTACAGCAGCATCATACTACAGCAGCATCATACTACAGCTGCACCACACTGCAGCTGCACCATACTACAGCAGCACCACACTACAGCAGCACCACACTACAGCAGCATCATACTACAGCTGCACCATACTACAGCAGCACCACACTACAGCTGCACCATACTACAGCAGCATCATACTACAGCTGCACCATACTACAGCTGCACCATACTACAGCTGCACCATACTACAGCTGCACCACACTGCAGCTGCACCACACTGCAGCTGCACCACACTACAGCTGCACCATACTACAGCTGCACCATACTACAGCAGCATCATACTACAGCTGCACCATACTACAGCTGCACCATACTACAGCTGCATCATACCACAGCTGCACCATACTACAGCTGCACCACACTGCAGCTGCACCATACTACAGCTGCACCACACTGCAGCTGCACCATACTACACAACAGGAGAAAATATTTCAGTTTTCAAATTGTTTTTTCCCCTAGTGTAGAAGAGCTCATCTTTAAGTGTAGCATCGCTCCTCTCCCTCTGTTGAGGAGTAGAGCTCCCCCTCTTCCTCCCCCCCTCTGGAGTAGAGCACCCCTCTCTCTCTCTTCCCCCTTTGGAGGAGAGCATCCCTCTTCACCCCCCTTCACCTCCTCCTGAAGTAGAGGAGAGATCCGCTCCTGCCACTAACAGCCCCCAATTTGGACGTCCAAATTTATCATCCTTAGGAGACTGGCCCGCCCTGGTGCATTAATCTCCGAGACACTAACAAACATGCCGGCCCCCACTCTTCCTTAACAGGGCGCCTGAGAGGCCAGGGGGTGGCCCTGAGTGCCAGGTGTGTGTGTGTGTGTGTGTGTGTGTGTGTGTGTGTGTGTGTGTGTGTGTGTGTGTGTGTGTGTGTGTGTGTGTGTGTGTGTGTGTGTGTGTGTGTGTGTGTGTGTGTGTGTGTGTGTGTGTGTGTGTGTGTGTGTGTGTGTGTGTGAGTGTGTGTATGTGTGTGTGAGGCTTTAAATAATTTTGCTTATAATTTAATCAAGACCAACACCAATATATGTATATATATATATATATATATATATATATATATATATATATATATATATATATATATATATATATATAAACTCGAATACCAGAATATACTAATTTCTCTCCCATGAGTATATGCCCCCGTAGATTGTATATACGTGTCAGGATATACAACGCAACAGTTCAATTTCTTTATTATTCACCCCATACCCATCCTGTGGGCGGTGTAAAGGATTACAGAGGCACATAATCGGTTCAGGAACTGAACCCTCTAGTTCGTCTAGCTAAGCAAATAACAAAACCAGAGTGATTATACATATCTAATGACTCAACGGCCACTAGCAGCTGTAGTTAATGTTTTAAACAATTGATAGTGCTAATTAACGCAGGTAGAGCCCAAAAAGCTTACTTTTTAAGCAGGTAGAGCCCAAAAAACTTACTTTTTAAGCAGTTGGAGAACAAAAGCTTACTTTTTAAAAAGAGGAGCCCAAAAGCTTACTTTTTAAGCAGTTAGAGCCCAAAAGCTTATCCTGAAGTCAGCCACATTCCAAAAGGTTGCCAAGTAGTGAATTGAAAAGTACGAAAACAACGAAGTTGACCATCTTCTTTAAATATTTAACACAAGCACTAAAGCCAACGTCAGCAGCTGTCATAAAACTGACGGATGGGCTGTCGCGTTTTCTATTCGTCGGTCCTCACTTAGGTTAGGTTCGGGCAATTTAGTACAATATTTTTGTGACGTTGTGACAACTCAAGAGGTCGGGTTGGTTCTGCACCAACCTCACCTTTTTATCAAGTGTTTATATGTACTTTGCAACACTGTTATCTAACTAAATATGGTATTGCAGCTGCCTAACTCCCAGGTACCTATTTACTGCTAGGTGAACAGGTCCATCAGGGTGAAAGAAACTCTGCCCATTTGTTTCCGCCGGAGATCGACCCCGGAACTTTAGGGCTACGAATCACGAGCGCTGTCCACTCAGCCGTCAAGCCCGTCGACCACAACGTCAAAGTTACAATGTTAGTGTGAAATTTAAAACGACTGTATTATTGACGCCCACTCGGCTGATTAGAGTCTGTCTCAACAGGTTTGGTTGCTTAGGTTCCAACTTTTCTGGTTTCGCAAAGCCCCTTCAGATTTCTTCTTCTTGATAGTAGGTGCAGTTTGCATGAAGGGTTTGTCCTCCCAATGACTGCACCAGTACACATGTTGGTAGAGGCGTTTATGTTGAGGATGAAAAGAGTTCCAAAGGTGCTTGTTGCGTTGTGCTGTAGATAGAGGAACGGTGATTAAAACAGAGGTGTGTGTTGTAGGGAGACTTGCCGCACTGTAGGGCGGTGTGTTGTGTTTATGGCGTCAGCTGATCCATGGTGCTGTGACGAGGCAGTTGTTTTCTGTGTTTAGCTGTTGGTGGCGCCAGGTATACATGTGGCGCGGGTCAGATGTGACCCAATTTGTTGGTCTACTGGAGATATTTACCCAGTGCTTTGACTATTTGGTATTTTTCCTGTAACGAGTGGTCACCGCCTCCTAATATATGCTCGATGGTAAAGGGTATTTTAAGTGCGATAAGTACTTGTTTGAAATTTACTCTGGCACTATAATGTCGGAAGCAGTGAAGGTGATAGTGATTGTTTCAGGCACCTGACAGTGGATGCAGAGTTCGTTGATGTCTGTTCTGTACTTAGAGCTGTGTGCTGCTAGTGTGGTGTGTCCCAGCCTTAATCTGGTCATCGCTATATCAATTTCTCTGCTTTTATATCGGACATGTTTCCAAGTTTCCCATTTCTTTTTAATGGACCCATAGTACAAAGGTGAGCATCACGTGTTCCATTTCGTCGCAAAATCTTGGGTGATGGTATTTTTGAAGGCTCCTTTACGTGCAACATGTGGAATTGGATGACGGGTAATGTGAGGCGTGTTGTGTATCGCTTTGGCTAGATGATCTACTAGTTCATTATGGAGAATACCACAATGCGCTGGGACCCATTGGATAGAGGTGTCATAACCGTTTAATCGATGTTCGTGAAGAAGTTGAACAAACTCTTTGCACGTTGTTGAAGAGTACGTAATTGCTTGAATCGCATTCTTGGAGTAACTACAGATTATATATATCCCAACTGGTAATGTTGTGATTATTTGGAGAGCTTGATATAAATTTTCAGATTTAAAGCTTGTGTTTGAGGCCTATAAATGTTTTGGGGTTTAGGCCTATCCCGGTCAATGTAGAATAACATAATTAATAGTGTTTGTGAAGCTGCACGAATCTTCATTCTCGATCCCACAGTACCAAACTTAGTGTCAGCACACGGGACCCAACATAATACTGTAGCCGGTGTGTAAGTATGAATGTGTATAAGTGTAAACACACACGAACATCATCATTAACCGGAAGAACGATAACATCAAGAACCATACGGTTTAAAAACAATTATTCCAGGTATAAGGTGTAGACGAGAGAACACCAACACCCCAGGTGTAAGGTGTAGACGAGAGAACACCAACACTCCAGGTATAAGGTGTAGACGAGAGAACACCAACACCCCAGGTGTAAGGTGTAGACGAGAGAACACCAACACCCCAGGTGTAAGGTGTAGACGAGAGAACACCAACACCCCAGGTGTAAGGTGTAGACGAGAGAACACCAACACCCCAGGTGTAAGGTGTAGACGAGAGAACACCAACACCCCAGGTATAAGGTGTAGACGAGAGAACACCAACACCCCAGGTGTAAGGTGTAGACGAGAGAACACAAACACCCGAGGTATAAGGTGTAGACGAGAGAACACAAACACCCAGGTGTAAGGTGTAGACGAGAGAACACAAACACCCCAGGTATAAGGTGTAGACGAGAGAACACCAACACCCCAGGTGTAAGTGTAGACGAGAGAACACCAACACCCCAGGTGTAAGGTGTAGACGAGAGAACACCAACACCCCAGGTGTAAGGTGTAGACGAGAGAACACCAAACACCCCAGGTGTAGACGAGAGAACACCAACACCCCAGGTGTAAGGTGTAGACGAGAGAACACCAACACCCCAGTGTAAGGTGTAGACGAGAGAACACCAACACCCCAGGTGTAAGGTGTAGACGAGAGAACACAAACACTCCAGGTATAAGGTGTAGACGAGAGAACACCAACACCCCAGGTGTAAGGAGTAGACGAGAGAACACAAACACCCCAGGTATAAGGTGTAGACGAGAGAACACCAACACTCCAGGTGTAAGGTGTAGACGAGAGAACACCAACACCCCAGGTGTAAGGTGTAGACGAGAGAACACCAACACTCCAGGTGTAAGGTGTAGACGAGAGAACACCAACACCCCAGGTGTAAGGTGTAGACGAGAGAACACCAACACCCCAGGTGTAAGGTGTAGACGAGAGAACACCAACACCCCAGGTATAAGGTGTAGACGAGAGAACACCAACACCCCAGGTGTAAGGTATAGACGAGAGAACACAAACACCCCAGGTGTAAGGTGTAGACGAGAGAACACAAACACCCCAGGTGTAAGGTGTAGACGAGAGAACACAGACGAACACAATAACGTCGCCTTCTGTAGGAGGACCTAGAGTGCTCGCGGGACTCGCCTGCTGCGTTTAAGTATCAACTCCTGCAACTATATAACTTTTATGTGATGTTAGATGGTTGGTCTTCCGGGAGAGAGGATCACCCCGGGTGATAGTCCGCTGGAGAACCAGTTTACCTGCTCCTGTTGTTGACAGTATCCACTATACACTGTGGCTATTGATGGTTTACAACCCCTTCCCCCCTCCTGCGAGAGGTATACCCTGCATCTCTTGAGTATACATGAATTGAGACTTTATCTGTGGTCTTAAAAATTATATAATGAGGAGATTAGGGCGGCGAGATGGAGCCAGCATCCTGGATGATCCAGGATGCTGGTGATCGAACTCGTTCACATGAGTGGAGATCTGACCCATACACAATAGTGGCGACCTTTGTGCCATCGACGGATATGACAATAGAGCCCAACTAGGCTCCATCTTGTTTGACCAAAATAATACATACGCATTTTGATCATACCTACCGTAGATCATACCTCGTAGGTACGATATCTGATGACCTACGTGATGTGGACATTAGAGATTATGAGTTGTAACGTATGTGAAATATTGCAGTCCTTCCTTCTTCTTCTTGTTCTGGGATGACTTTCAACGAAGCCTGAGTAATGCTGTTGAATGCAGTGTGATACGTGTGTGTGTGTGTGTGTGTGTGTGTGTGTGTGTGTGTGTGTGTGTGTGTGTGTGTGTGTGTGTGTGTGTGTGTGTGTGTGTGTGTGTGTGTGTGTGTTTATTGGCAAGAACTTTTACACCGAAGCCTTCGGAGTTCGACGCGCCAGATATCACAAAGCAAAACTCTACAAAGCAGACCTAACCTCATATTCAAACTTTATTTTTCATTCTATGTCTTGACTCGCTGTGTGTGTGTGAGAGAGAGAGAGAGA